ACACACACACACACACACACACACACACACACACACACACCATTCGCCGGTGTTGTCATTGCAGCCGCCGTGTTGAGTGTTTCAATATAAGCTGAGGTTTGTTCGGTAAAATTGATCCCATTTGCACTTGTGAAGTGGCTTATGTTGCAGCTGCACTGAATTATCTGGGAATTTTACGATAAAACATGCAATTAGCGCCAAAGATGAACTCTTGTAATGACAGTTGGTAATAATTTGATTTTGAGTGCAACTTTTTGGTATTCATTTGTAAATGGATTCACTTTATCTCGCCTGTCGGGCTTCTCACTTTCTCTCGCTTTTCCCCCCTCTTTTCTCTATAACCCCGATCTAACTAAATATTATTCGCTCTGTTTGAACGTTTTCAAATTTTATTTCAACATTTAAATGATTATGTCAACGCAACCGCGCACACCCCAAATATTTTTCAACAAATATCAGCATTTATTTGATAACATTGCGCAAAAATGAGAGAAATTTATGGTTTAGTTATAATATTTTTGTCAAGCTCTACCTCCATCTCTTTCATTCTCATTCATTATCATTCATGTAATCACAATTAAATTGCCAACAATCAGTGAACAATAACGGAATGATAACATTTTCCCGATTCGAAATAATGTAATCTCGCAATTTAAATGAAAATGAATAGAATTCCTTCTGCTTCGTGCATGCATCCATGATGTGATCGACTGTGTATGTATAACTGTAACTGTATACAATACATATGATGGTGCTTTTTCCTATGGAAAACTCTATTCCGAAAATAAACTTAATTTATTTTCCAAAAATGGATGTTATAAAAGTTTCATTTAGTTAAGCCATTTTCACATAAAGCCGGAGGAATTTTGCACACAACCAGCAATGCCATCAACGGTAGCAATTGCGCTTAAGCGCAAAAGAGTAGGACTATACATACACATATGCACATTGTGATGTGCAATCGAATCCATTGTTCAGAGTTGGTCACATAAACGAAGTGGTGGCTTTTTACTGGCTATATACTTGAAAATCAGAGAATGAATGACGACGAAAGGACAAAAGTCACTCAAAATCATATAAATTGATGAATGCTTAAGAGAACGATGGGATGCATGGCTAAGAAATGCGAATGAGCAGTAGAGAACATATTATTGGTCATTGAAATCCAAAAAAAATTGGTTCATTTTCTTTGTTCAATGATCAACAATATTATTTTTTTATTATTAAATGGGATAAGATACATTTACATATGTAGCTTTTGGGTAATATCGAAATGTTACATGAAAAACATGTTTGTGTGTTTTTTTAACCAAATTTTACATTCTAACCGATTATATGACCAAATGCCAACAAAATTCATGAAGAAAAACACTCTCACTTGCCACATGCAAAAATTTAAGGAAGAAATGAACAAACAAAATCAGTCAGGAGAGAAATTCGCAAAGGTCCTATTTAACAATTCAGATTTCGAGAGAGGAAAGCATATAAAATGACGAGAAAGAAGTCGACAGAATTTCATGAGCACCGTTCGTGTTTAATTCTGTTTGAATGTGAGTCTTTTTTTTGAAAGTTATACACGGGCCACAATATTTTCATAGCGGTAAGAGAGTATATTTTAGTGTGTTTGCACCACCGTGCACATACATAGTAACAGTAGTATAGTAAGCGCACATGTTCAACATTATATGCCACTCAATGCTGTATTTAATGTACACTTTGTGTGTTGTTTATGTTTGATTAAGTAATTACTACACTATTTTGCTTTCGTTCTGGTTCTCATTTCATCTCCAGTTTATCCATTTCATTTTTGTACGCATCTCCAAAATGTTCATTTGTCGCGCGTATTTTTCGGGAGAACCATTTTTGTTTTGTTAAAAGTATGCTTTTTGTTTTATCCAATTTTAATCTTATTAAATGAACGAATTGCTAAAATGTGTACAATCAGCGCTTGATACTGTATGTCTCATCAGAGCAATTCATGTTCGCTACTGAAAATGGAAAGGGCGAGCGCGCGCGAGAGAGAGAGGAAAATGCATATTTTGTGTACTTTAATGACATTTTGCCTCCCTCGTTCCCTCCATTAGCATCAAAAACTATATAATATGCATAAACAAATCGTTAACTCGTACACATTGGCAACGGCTAATGTCTCGCGCTCATTCGAATAAATTGGCCAAGTGGGGCAGAGTACGCATTAAAAGAGCTATAGCCCCATACTAAGGGCAGAAATCAAACGACAAATTTGTGTATTTGCCATTTATTCGTTTGTTTTCGACAGAGAGAAAAAAAATTCAATAAACAGAAATTAATAATCATCAGCATATTTTCGATATTTTTTTTAACATTTTGTATTTAATAATTAGTGCAATATTTCAATAGAAAATAAAAAAATATATATATTTAAATAATTACACTTTTTATAATCGTTCTGCATATGTTAACCGAATAAATTCGAAAGCTTCTAATTTAAATGTTTCCCCCAAGCGTTCGTAGCGTAATTCATTTTCACTTACATGCATTCATATTTAACGTTCTAACATGAAACGTATTTTCAAGTGTTAATTATACAATTCTCATTCTGAATGAAATATATGAATGAATGTGATACAAATCAACATCCTCTTTAACTCCACCTCTATCGTTTATCTAAGTTTTTGTATCTCCTGTTTCTAGCACTTTGTTTCTCATTTGTTCAACCTTCCTCTTTCAATCTCTTTCGCCTGATCTCTAACTGGTATATATTCCTCTATCTCAGTCAATATGTGTTGCATTGTATTGCTTTGTGAAAACTTTGTGCCCAAGTGGTGTTGTGTTATTTCAGCACATTATGAAATTGTCCAGAAAGTTAGCTGTGCAAAAAGTTAGGCGGAACAAGTTTTGCCATCGTCATTGTTGTTTTTTTTTTCTTCATCAAAATCATTTTGTTGGTTCGTTTTTGCATAAATTCAACTACCGGTAGCTGTAGACCATTTTAAAATGGTCTAATGACAAACAATACTTATTCTCTCTGGCTTGCTAGAAAAAACTTTCTCTCTTTCACATAATCTGTACGATAAGAAGCGGGAATAATGGGCTCCATAATGGTTTGTGTAGTTTTCAATCCAAATCCACGCACACATTTATACAAGAATTAATATGCGTTTCGACAGAATGAAAAAAATAATGTATATTTGTGTGTGTGACAACTGACAAGAAATATTTGCTTACGTGATATCAATAAAAACCACTATTACATTATAAGGAGAGGGTAACCAAGATGAATTTTCATTTTGTACCATTTGTAATATTGAACTTATGTTAAAACATCACATTTTGCTGAGTCAATGGAAAATCCATTTTTCAGCTTCAAACAACTATTTTCGATTTTCGCGTTTTTCTTCTTTCATTCCGCTTGCATCGGTTGGAACGAACTTTAAAATATAAAAAAAATCGCCATACATACAAGCTCATTTGAGCACACAATGCAAAAAAGACTATGAGAAAAAAAAACAAACGCCGAACGCACGCACAGCAAAAAAAAAACGCGAGAAACGAACAACAAATTTTAGGCTTTTAAGGATACTAAAGTTTAACATCATTCTTTCCCATTCCAAATTTACAACAACAACAAAATGGAAATTTTCTATCAATTTGTATTGTTTTCTTCTTACAGAATTTTTCAACTGAACACAAAACGTATGGAAACAAAACTACAGTCAACATTCCACATTGCGATGCTTGTCTAATGGAATTCGTGCTTTCGATGGATCTACCAGCCATACCGCGGTGGTTTCTTTTTTTTTCTCTCACTCGATCAGACATTCAACCACTCTCTTTTTAGTTCGTTTTATTTTTTTACGTTATCGCATGCATCGGAGATGAAAAAAAAACCATGTGAAATGTTTGCAATGTGTGCGCGAGCGCTAAAATCCGTTGATTTAGCTGAAAATAAATAGAATGTTTGTCGTATTTCATCTCGTGTCGAAATCAGCATCAACCGCATTATTCGCACCAGAGAAAAGTCAAAGACAGAGAGCGACAGTGAGTGAATGAACGAGACAGTGAGAACCGAAAAAAGTTTTATGAAAATCTATTTTATCGAATAAAGCTAGCGAATAAATATTGGACAAAAATTACTGTACACCTAACACGCAAACATTCACATTCTGTTTGCACCGTTATTCAGCAGTGCTGGCGCGCTTTTATCGTTTAGCGACACGCTTTGATCTCTCACACATACTGGCTTTTTATTCGTTTCGATTTTGGCACGAAAAAAACACATAATTATTGAATTCATGTGTAACATAGTATAAGTCCATTCGCAGCACATCGATCTTTTGGAGAATTTAACAACAACAAGAAAATGATGGAAAGAAAAACGAGTGACCAGATTAAAATGGTGATGAATTCGCACTTCGATTTTGATTGAAAAACTACTGAAGTGAGCGTGACATGTGAAATGAACGCGACAAACCTAATGCACATTTGCCATCAATGAATGGATCGTTCGATTATTATATTTGCTAGTGTGCAGAGCCCAAAGGAAAAAAACCAAACAAATTAATAAACATTCAAAATTAATGCATCAACAGGCAAACGAAACAAAACCAGCATATTGGATTCATAGAGTGCAACAAACAACATCGTTTTGATAGAATAAATAAATTGAAAAACACTCGAACCGAAATTCAAAGTCGACGAAGAAATTAAATGAAGATTCGCATCGACATGTAAGGTGCCACAAAAAAAGAAGTGAATGGAAAAAAGTTCCATCGAAATTCAGTGAAAAGTAATATAATTATTTCGCTAAAAAAGAATCTATAACGAAGAATAGTCTCGATAAAAAATACAGTTGAATTGAAATAGTGTGTGCGTGTAATATTTTTGTTGGTGTTTTCGTCGTCTCGCGACTTTTCACAATGTTTAGAAAAATCCAATTGATGTTATATGTTTTCATCCTAACGCTACTGATGGTGTTGCTGTCATCAATGCCAATGGCCGCAGCACAATTGGCCTGGTCATCGATAATTGTGGATTCAGAGAGTAAGTATTTTATGCTCATATAATAATAAAACCATATCAGGTTGAGAAAAAAATGTCTGAATATTCATATGTAATTTATGATTTGCGACCATATAGTGTAAACATTGGCGTGCAAAAATATATTCCATGGCATATTGCATATAGGCTTTATTTTGGCGGTGTTGGTCGTTACGATTTTCCTGTTTACTTTTCATGGTTTTTTTTTTCATTGCATTCAGCTTTTTATGTTCCGATATTTTTTTTTGTTATGTGTTTCAGCGCACAATACATTGTGAATCGTTTGCGCGATGCGACAAAATATTGCGCTTTAAATCTTTGTTTTAATTCATGTGTTTTTTTATCATCGATTCTGTTCTATTCTGTTCGTCAATTGAATTTCGAGGTAACTTTTTATCGTCACCGTTGTTGTTGTAATTGTCCTTCAAATTGTGTTGATAATATTTGCTGCGCATCTTTTTCGCTATACAGTTACGTTGAGATGATATATTTATTGGATTTTTTTTCGAGTTATTTTATTGTTAGCAAATTATGATATTTTTCAGGGGATATCTCAAACCAGACACTGTTTTTCAGAGTAATATATGCGAGGAGGAGCGCTCAAAATAGCCAACAGTTTAAAAAATAATTGTGCTCTACATCAGAGAATTTCATACAAATTTTTCAATTCCACTCATGAATTGATCACATACTGTGAATTTTGTTTTCGATTCTTGAAACTGTCAACGAAAAAGATCAAATAACATCTATTGGAAACCAGATAATTTCCCCCAGGATAATTTTTTTAACGGTTGTGGACGGTGTATTGATAATAAAGCATAGAGTGGTCGATTCTTCAACAAAAATGTTCATTTCATGATTGCCTCTGCTTAAAACGTGTCACATTATATACGGGCCATAAAAATCACCCACTCTAACGTATTGTGTGTAAAACTCATCATCATAGACACCACTCAGGATACGAAAAAAAAATACGCTCACGTAAAAGTAAACAGAAAATCATCGACAACAAAAATTGCAATACTGGCATTATTTATAATTAAATTGAGAGTATCCGCGATGAGAGCGCGTGAGCGAGAGAGAGAGAGAAATACACCGAGGAAATATTGACTGGCGTGAATGATTCTCATGGCATCATTTAAAATTGCGTACAAAATGTATGTGCAGAGTACATAGATGCATAACGAAAAATGCATATGCAATTTCAGCTCGATTGGCATTGATTCATTAGCCCGGTTAACAGTTTCAAGATATACATATATATTTATTCAGATTCAGTGATCCATTTTCATCATTGTATGATATTTTGTATTGTTTGAAGCATATCTCATCAGCATCAATTTGCGTTCCAGTAATCCTTTTGTAGCACATTGTTTTATTGATGGCTGTTTGCCATTTTTACATTTAATGAGAGCATACTTGTTCCGCTTGCATGAAGTATGTACAATTTTGTTAAAGAATATAATTGAGTATATCATTTCAATGACTGCCTATCAATTATGGTTTTCTCATTGCAATTAAAAATGTAAATCTCAATCGCATATATGCTGCTGTCAGAAAGAGATCCGTTTGCCCTGAAAAATAAAACATTTAACCGAGAGATGTTTTTTTTTGTTGTTGTGCCGGTAAGGCGAAGAATCATGATGTAAATATTCTATCTATCGTACGTTTGTGTATTATTTGGCCGGTCTTATTGGGAACATTTTTCAATCATGCACAATTGATATTAAGCCGAATATCATCCTAATTTTGCCTCATTTCCATTCAGAAGTGCACTTTTCGAGCAAGAGAAAAACAACCGAACTAAACATTCAAAAACCATGTCTAAACAAAGTGGAAAAAGAGAATTTCTTTTCATTTTCTTTTTACATTATTCAATGCAATTGTAAGATTATATTTATCGCAAAGTGCACACACATGCACACACATAAAGGCAACATCGTTTAGCCAAACAATCCAAACATACAGCAATTCATTGTCAGAAATGAATGTTGCATGGAAACAGTGAGATCGAGAACGAGCGAGAGAATAGTGTGTGGCCCATTGGTGGCGCGCATTCATGAAACACGACTCAGGCTCATGTAAAATCCAACACACAATTCCAAGCTAAATAATTGATGTGGTTATTTATCATTTATTCAGCTTCTTCCTCTGCATCATCTTTTTTTCCTTCATTTCTTCTGTGCATCTCTCTCATTTCTCGCTCTCTGTCTCTTTCAAATTCACCATTTCCCATCTCATTCATTGCATTCCATTCTATTTGATTTGATTGTGTGTGCTTGAGACTGGCTGGTTGAATGGGTCGTTTGCTTGCATGCTTGCTTATTTAGCTGGATGATGCCCTTTCCGTCACATAGGACATGTGCACTTTCATCCTTGCCAAAACATAAATGTAGCCATTTTAGTGTGTAACAGTCTGTCGGATCTAATCTCTTCAACATAGTTCACATTTTACGCTTTTTGCGGTTTAAAACTGAGACATGTCTGTCTCTCTTCTCTCAATTTTTCGATTGTAGCTTTATGCGTTTTGCCATCTTTGTCATGCTCATTCATTCAACCATTCAGCATTCAGTACAACTGCAACGAATGTCATTCAACATATATGCAAACACATTTACTTATCCCATATGGTATTGTATCTCATCTAAGCATGATGTTAAAAGTTTGTACGTTCATTCTAAACGATATGCGAGTGTGTTTGCGGTTTTTATGTATGTGTATTTTGAGGCGATTGCATCAAATTCATAATGCATAATGAAAACATTGACAAATTGAAATAGCCATAGTCAAGTTTCATGCTCTTTCACATTTCAATTGCGTCTTTTTACCCTCTACTTCATGTACAATTATTTGCTCTCATTTCCTTCTGCTTCATCAATCCGATTTGATTTTTGAGGTTGAATCCATTAATAGATGGTGTGACTTATTTGTATTATCTGAATATTTCAATTGCTTAAAAACAACTAATACTTAAATGTATATGTGTTCGATTGATGAGGGTAGCAAATATTCCAAGAGCGCAATTTTCATGATATACAAACACATACCACAAAAAAAACCTCATAAAAAATTATTTATAAACAAAAACACACACCCACACACTCGACGTCATAAACATTTCTGTCACGAACAAAAATGCTCCAAACCATATTCTTACCAATATACTAATTAACCAGTATATGAGTCAATGCATCGAAAATAATAATCAATTATGCCTCAATACACACAATCTCATTAGCGATACATTATGATTTAATAATAACCGAAACTATTAATTGACTGAAGTATTAAATGCATGTTTACCTGAAATATTAGCGTTTTATTTACTCGTTAACCAATTCATATCGTAATGCTGCAAGTTGTGATGGAATCAATATTTGCATTGGAAGTCTAAGTTACTCTACTCCAAATGAAATGTATGTGGCAGTAAATACGATGATGGTGAGTGAGAGTTCATCGGCTCTTATTTTTCTTCTCTTGAAATGGTATTGCGTTTGGGGGTAGAGATGAGTGTGATTCATTTAACGATGCATCCACATTTAGTATTGCATCGGGCACACGATGCACACATTTACATGTTTGCTTGATGATTTCCTTTGAAATTATGATATGATGCAGTTTGCCTTCATTTCGATTAATGTTTATTTTATTTAGCGAGAGAAAACAAACAACAAGCATACCATGAACAATTGATGATAATGGCCATTGGCATGCTGGAAACAAGAGAGAAGATGAGAGTGATAGCAAACCTCCGGTTAAAAAAAAACAACAACAAAACAACAAACACACTATCAATGGTGATGGCAAACAAAATTATAAGGACGATAGAGAGTCACTTACTACTATATCTCACTGCTTCTCTCATTCTATCTCTCATCTTCTTTTTCTCGTTAGCTAAATAAAGTCTGAACCATGAATTGTACAATACATTTGAACAATGTTACTCATCCGAAATTCATTAGCTTCGCTTTTTTTGCACTTGCATAAACGAAGAGCAAAAAAAATCCAATGAAATATGAACTGAATTGAAGACGTTTAAGCGAAAAATAATCTGAATGAAATACGTTGAGTTAAAATTCATTAAATTCCATAAGGCAATGAAGAGTGCAAGAAATAAACAATGAAAAAATCATTTATTTGTTTTACAAATTCATTATGTTTTGTTCTTTTTTTTTTTAAGAAAATATTCCGATTTTTTCTGATTGTTTTCTATTTAGACAATTATCTATTTGGATTGTTTGCATGCGAAAAATCTCAATCTTGATTAGATATTCAAATATAAGAAGTCGCAGATTTTGCACGAATTAATCCTTATTCATGCTAAACACATTTTTCTGATTAAATTAATCGTAATTGTATTTATGACGTCATGATTCTACAAAGTGAAACCAATTTATGCCAAGTGAAGTGCTGTATGTATGTGTGTATTGGTGCGTTGATGTGTTTTCTTTCATCTCTAAGTAGATATGACGCCGACCGTACCGACCGTCACATTTCGTTTAGTGCAAACGCACATTAGAAACGCTATCGCCTAATGTGTTTTTATTTTCCAATGGATGGGTTTTGCTTTCAAGCGTTTGCCTGAATGGTTCAGAAAACGAAAAGAAACTATTGAATCAGTGGACTTCTCTAGAGTGCTCGCGAGTAAAGAAAAAGAGATTTAGCAAGTTTAAAAAACACAGGAAAAGAGAGTAAGAGAAAGAGAAAAAATAATGCAAAAGAAATATGTTGAATTTGATTGCACAAGCGCTTGCTGCTTAATTTACGAGTGCTTGGAGTGTAGGGTAGCAACCAGTTCAGATCACACAGAGAGTTAAAATTATTCATTTAATACGTTTCCGGCATTGAATTACTTAAGATCAACAATTTAAAATAGCATATACACAAACATCTCAATGCAGATGGCATATAAATACACAAAAGCTCTCGCGTCGTCATCATCATCAGCGTTGTCGTCGACTACGATGTTGAAATGAAAGCTATGTACAAATAAATGAGTTGAA